TTTCTCCCTCCCCACCTCCCAAAAGATGGTATAAATGTTTAATTATGTCTCTTGTCACATTTTAAAAGAAGTTGGTATAAAAATCGCGTCCGATGACTACAAAATGAGATTTTTCCTGGGCTTTTTTTTTTATCATTACGGAATAATGAATTTAAAGTATACGTAGTTTAGCTTTACCCATTGAGAGGACTGAAAGCAAAATCACCCAGTAGCAAAGAAAACTCCTAGCACCTACTTTCTGAATCCCGGCAACTGCTAAAGAAGCCTGGGAACTTTGATGAAGTAGTTGATACCAGGTCTAGGGCAGACAAATCCAAGATGAGTCCAAGACCTTGCATGAAGGCAAATAGCACAATTCGAACATCCAGAAGCATGACTGGGCTTTGTGTATAAAGCTTGTTGCTAACTTTTAAATCACTTCTGTAACTCAGCTACCCAGAAATGGAATTCAGGACATAACTATACTTCTACTCAGACATATATATGTATGCATGTTCATGCACATACATGTGTGTATTATGTTTGTGTATGTCCTTTGTGTGTGTCGTCAGTATACATTCCACCACTAATATATGAGGATGCCCCATTTGATACCAGTGATGGTTGTATTTTGATAAGCAGTGGGTACTGCTGATGAAGGCAAGTCCGTTCTCCATGCAGTCACTTCTCAGCATTCCCAGGTACCAGTTTCCCAGGCGAGGTAGTCGGAAGCTCACACATGACAAACATGGAAGGACAAATCCACCATCTTTCCACAGAACCTTCCCTATCACTTCCTCCACCCACGATGTCATTGGGTTAGTGAGAAGCCTCAGAACTGGTCTATTTTTTCTAGCTCTGATTTTAAATTACATTTGGAGGGGATTATTAGCTTAAATTCTCTCCTTGGAGCTGAGCTAATACTGGGTGCAGAACTCTCTGCATGAAGAGATATGCATCGAGGATGGCATTTATCAGAATGTGTCAGAAACACCTTCCCAGCTGCCTTCCTGATGCTTAGCAAATGTTTTGTAACCACTCAGGCAAAGTAGTGAGGCTGGACAAGGCCTTCAGGGTAATAACAAGTGACTCCTCTGTGGAGGGAAAATCAATTTAATATTCTCTGCCTTCATTTTCTTATTTATTTTTTCTGTAAGGATTAAGGCTGTAGTCTGGGCAGAGAGATGTTTTGATTAAACTATATGCTTCTTTTGAAAACAATAGTGTTGAAGATAACAACTAACATTTAAAAAATCTTTCTAATTAACAGGTATTTCATTAGCACTGCATCTGTATTTCAGGTCAGTCTTACTATGGTGCATACTGTTAATACCCCCAGGACAGTGAGGTTAGTGAAGGCAGGTGACTCGGCCCAGGCATGGCAGCTGGTAGAATCTGGCTTCAGGGAAGCTCTGTGTGCACCACATCCACTACACTCAGCTGTCACCTGTACTATGCTGTGTTGTAACACCCTGTAAACTGTCAAGGCCAGTACACAGTGGGTCAAATGCACACACTGACTTCGGCAGTGACAAGGACTATGGGTTTCTTCCTGAACATTGCAGAAAAAACCACAATCATTAATTTCTAAATAAGCAATCTACTTCTTTCTTTCCTCAACAAGAGGCCTCTTGGACACATGAAGCAGTGGAAGAATAAGACAATATCAGAGAACCTCTGTGCGAATCCTAGTTCAGTAATGCAAGTTAGCAGATATTGCCAAGCCTTGGTTTCTTGACTACAAAATGGAAACTGCAAAATGCTATCAGTGTTTCCAGTTGTCACATGGTTTAAATGGAATAATGTGTGTAGGAAGCACCATGCAAGGGATGAGCTTTGGGGCTCAACTTGTTATTAACAGCAGAGAGCAAAGGGACTAGCATGATCCCTTTACTGTAGATCTAATGCACTGTCCGTTGACTTCTATCCCCTCTTCCCAGCATTCTTCACCCCAGCAACTTGTTACCTCCTCTTTATCTGACTCTCCTTAAAATGTGAGCAACTCAATGAAGCTTTCAGGGTACAAAATACTCCCTGGTGGAGCTTCTCTGAAAGGCTTGTGAACAAAAGTCTTCTTTGAATATGAAAATCCTTCTGTCATGGTGTTGGAGTGGTTTCTTGCATTTCTTCCAGTGGCCAGCACCTTAACTCTGCCTTTCATAAGTCTTAGAAGTTAGAAGTAGGTAGTTCTAAAGAGTACCTGGACATTTGATAGAAGACCCAAGAAGATAAGTGTCTTTAGATGATGCGTTGCTTACTGTTCTCATTGCTAAGACAGAACACCTGACACTCAAGAGACAAAACACCTGACACTCAAAGCTAAAGGTGGAAAAGTCCATTTTGCCCCATAGTTTGTAGAGGTTTCAATCTCATAGTCAGCTGACTCTAAGGCAGGGTGGCGTTAAAGAGAAGAAATAGTTCTTGGCAGGCAAAGGCAGGAAGGCAGCAAAGCAGTGAAATAGCAAGCAGCAAGCCACCACATCAGCCTTCTTTCTGCCCCTGTGTCTATCCAGCTACCTGTCCCCACTGCAGCTACCTGTCCCCACTGCAAGTATCACCCACACCCGGAGCAGGCCTTCCTAATGCCCACACCCAGAACTATGCCAAACAATCAGTAGACTCATTAAGTAATCACATATCTTGATCCGAGCGTCACACACTCTAGATCCACCCACCTCTGAAATCCCCACCTATGACCACAAGAGGCTTTGGGGGGACCTCTAGATGGAAGCCGTAACAGATGGTGATTATTAAGACGTCATGGACTCTTCTCCTGTGAGAGCTGGGAAGAGCCTTGTAAAGCTTCTTGTCCAGTTATCTGTAACAAATGGATAAGTTGGCAGGCAGGTTGCTATAATGGAAGAAAATCATATAGCCCTTGGTTCAAATTTCAGTTGATTGGTGTGACAGTTATGATGATATTCATCTTGACTGGAATGAAGAGCTTCCTAGAGAGGTGGCTGGACTATCAGGGAAGTGATTGATTGCACTAGGTGGATAAATCCATTGATGAGTTCATTAGTTGAATGGGTTTGTTAGTACATGGCACCTGACTGGATAAAACAGGTCATGGGGAGTGTGGTGTTGAAGATATATTTTGCCCCAGTCCCTTCCTCTCTGGATTTTCCTCTTTCTTCCTGCTTCCTGGCCTCCATGAGGTAAGCTTTATCCCTCTCCCCTGCCATTTGCCATATTTCTATCTTAAAGCCAGCCAACCTTAGAGCTAACATAAATCTTTCCTTCTGTAAGTTGTGTCTGCCAGGAATTTTGTCCTAGTGAAAGAAAACCTGACTAATTGCATGCATGACTTTAGAAAAATTATTTGGCTTCTATGGCTTCATTGCTCCACAGATAAAAAGCACTTTATCTGTTGCTGAGATAGATGACAGATGGCAGGTAGATAGATAGATAGATGATAGACAGATGATAGATAGATAGATAGATAGATAGATAGATAGATAGATAGATAGATGACAGGTAGACAGATAAATTAAGCTAGATAGATGAACAGAACAATCAAGCTGGGACAAATTGAACAATAAGTTAGGGCACTGCAATTACTGCTAGAGTCCTGTTATTATCACTCCATGCTGACAGCTATGTGTAGGCACGATCACAATCAACAGATGTTTGATCTTTCTTCTCTTTTGTGGTTTCTAAATATTTTCTGGAGCTTCTCCATCTAAGTCATTGTCTGTGTGCCATGATTTCTCAATAACAAGAGAGTACATGCATACATGTATTTAAGGAATACAGGGCAGATACTGCTGTTTTGAGCTGGTCTGGTTTTTAATCCAAAGCGTGATTGAGACTCCTAGTTTTGAACTCCTGGCTTCCCTTGGAGCAGAAGCCTTTACACTTCTTTACTCGCTTGTGGCTGTGCACGCTCTCCTCCTGCCCTTCATTCTGCCTCTTTCTCATTTCCCCCTCATGAGACCACATTTCATTACCTTGTCCTCACTGCCAGTAGCCAGATCTGCTTGTTGAGAAGCCCTTGACTTTTAAGGTGAATGGGTAGTTAAGACAAGGCCTGTGGCTGAGTTGGCCCTTAGACTGTTTTCCAGGGTGATAAATCAGCCTTGCCTCAGAAGTCCATCGCGCCTAACCAATGCCTCACTCAGGGAGGCGCTTCAGCAGTGAGGATGTGTTAAAACGCTTCTCTGATATGCCAGTCCTCCAGCTCTGCCTCTCCCTTACCAGCTTCCATCTCAATGCTCAAAAGCAAAAAAGCCATGAGAGGACAGGTCGTCCTCCACCAAGAGCAGGCCTCCAGGAGCTCAGGAGTCTATTCTTGTTTTATTGGTACCGGGGATCAAACTCATGACCTTGTGCTTGCCAGGCAGGCACTTATGCCTGCTGAGCTAAATCCCCAGCCCAAGAGTCTGTTCTTCTTGATCACTGTTAGTTCTCAGTCCTAGAAGAGCACTTGGTATTCGGGGGCCCCCAAAAGGAGGGAATGAGTGAACAAACGAGACAGAACAGCTTGACCTCCTCAGGCCTCCTGTCTCATCGCACCGACTTTGCTTTGTGTTCTAGCGGAGCACCCTGCTCACAGCTTTCTAAGAGGAGGGCAGGAGGCTAGAAGGGAAGGTGCTTCTAAAGCAGACGAGGGGGACAGCAGAAAGAATGAAAGTGGCCGTGTGGTACAGATAGGCCATACCACCAAGTTCCTCTTGAGAATTGATGGACAAGATGGTAGCAGACACAGAAGGGCCACCACATAATCAACAGCCCCCTTTCTGAGGACTGTAAGTCCCCTCATTAATACCATTTCTTCATATTAAATTAGCACTAGCGAATCCATACATGTGTGTGTCCTGGTACGCAAGGGACCCCAGTAGCATCCATCATAAAGGGTCCTCTCCCAGTATCAGAAAGACAACTGTTTTTCTCAGAATAAAACATATGACTTGTCAAAGTGTGCTCTGCCATTCTTCACTATGACAGTCCTCCTCCCAGAAAGCTGGCCCTGCTCCGGGGTGACTCTGCGGCCTGGAACTGAAGCTTCTGTCTTTCTGCAGGGCAAGGTAGAAGCAGAATTCCACCTCGTTACAGCAGAAGAAGCTGAGAAAAGTCCTGTGGGGAAAGCTCGGAAGGAGCCCGAGCCCTTGGCCAAGCCCAAGTGAGTGGACTGAGGCTGGGGATATGGAGAGAGGGCAGGCAGTGCCCATGGGAGGGAGGGTTATGTGTTTCTTTGGGATTCACTAGCTCAAAATTAGCTATTAAGCACCTAGTAGAACACTTTGGCGAACACAGAAGGAATGTAGGATGTAAGCCAGGCCTTCCAGGAGCATTTGACTTCTTCAGGGAGAAATAATGCAAAGCAGTTACCAGAGTGTAGGCTCAGAAAGAGCACGGCCCAAGGGGCAGCTGAGAGAGGCTCCATATGGACTGAGGTGATGGGATGGCTCCAGGGAAGAGCAGGGGCTTGAGCTGCTCATGCAGGCTCAGCAGGAGGGTGACAGGACCTCTCCCTGGGTTCTGACTGGATTCGGATTCTGCCCCAGACCATCCTTTTAGGGGAAGCAGGAATCATCATCACCAGTGGATTAGGTTGGTCCTGCTTCGGGCCACACAGTCTTCTTCTGCCCCAGAAAGTGGGGATCAGAAACATTTCCCCAGGGCTTGTGCTGACAACCTGCCTGCCTGCTGATTTTTCCCTGCCTTCCCTCCCAGCCGCCCGGACACTTCCTTCTCTTGGTTTGTGAATCCCTTCAAATGCCTGTACCACCTCATCTGGAGGAATTACAAGAAGTACATCATCATCGGCTTCATCCTCATCATCCTCATCATCTTCCTGGTCCTCTTCATCTACACCATGCCCGGGGCGATCAGCCGAAGGATTGTAGTGGGCTCCTAGGGATTGTGGAGGACTGGACCGACCCTTTTCCCAGGCCCTGTCCACTTCCTGAGGGGGAGCATCAGAGAACAAGAACTGCGAGAAGCACTATGTGAGAGGACAGGCCTGGAGGACCCGAGGATCCCCCCATGTTGAAGGGATGGTGGCTGTTCCTGGAGGGGGAGAAACAGTCTCTCCCTGCCCCATCCCCTGCCTCCATCTTTCCAGCTCCACGTGCCCCAGGCAGCAGGAAGTGATGACTGCGCCATCTTGGGACGACCAACCATGACCTTAGATGGACCTGAGAGAAATTTTCTTTATGTAATTGGCTGTTTTGGGAGAAATTTAACTCTGGATCTGAGATTTTATTAGAAATATTTGCTTTTAAATAAAATTTTACTGCAAAAAGACTGAAAGTATTTTAGCAAACTATTAGACATTTAACCCCTCTCGTCTACTTTAGCCTTATTTAATCCTTACAGTTTGTGGAACACATGCACTTACTCAGGCTGTGAAATCAGCTTGGATAAAACATCTACAAACCATCTGAAATACTTCAGTGTTGAAATTCACATTCCGAGACAAGATGTTGCTTTTTAAAAATTAAAACCAGTGGTTCTAGAATGTGTTCAGTAGCAATCATGAGTTCAAAGAGATTCATTTTGATGTATGTTTCATGCAATTGCCAAATGGTAATTTTATAAATTGATCTAAAACATGTGAAGTGTAAGTGTGAGTATATGTGTGCTTGGGTGCAGGAGCTCCACGCAGCCCATGGGAATTCTCCTTCACCTGGTACCCAAGCCCCAACAACCCCCAAGTCCCTACAGCCCAGGAAAACCATGCGTGTCCTTGGCACGGCTTGGCATTTAGTGTGACAAAAGTGTGTGCCTGGTCTCAGATGAGACTTCAGCACAAAGGAATCTCAAAGCCAGTCTTGGAAAGAGTAACCTAGGCACTTGCAACCGAGGGCCTGTTTTCCTTGAAAGTAAACTTCCGATTTTCATCACAGTCTCCATATGCCACTTACCTAAGGCACAAAGGTGATGGAAGGGGATGATTTTCTCAAATATAATTTTAAAAACCCAGAATTTGAGTACTTGGCCTCAAGTCCCATGCAAAATGTTTAACTTCATACACAAACAATTATGTCAACCATTTCTTTCTGTGACTAAAGGTCATTTCTGGTGGGACTGAGGAAACCGGGTTGGGGTTCCCCCCCTTGACCCCAGAGGCACCAGGGCCAGCGTTCTGGTTTGTGTTTACTTTTTACAGCTTTGTGCGGTGTGACTCTCCTGAAGGAAAGTCTTTCCATCTGCATAAAAAGTCACTCAGAATGTCCCTGCTCCATCACAGAAAGACCAAAGCACGTTCTGTGTGACTGTGGACTTAGCTGGAATTCTGGCCCCAGATGCTCCCCCCATTAGCAACTGATGCACTCCGTCCCTGGAATGCTGAAAAATGGGGCACTGGGCGCATGAAAGTATTTTTCAGGGAGACTGGTTACATCTGTGCGGTTCGTTCTCCCTGTGCAGACATGTGCCATCAGCACTCATGATGGCCAAAAACATACAGTTAGAAAACTTTCTATGACACATGCTGAAAAAGTGATATACACATACACAAAAATGTCTGGAGCAGTGTGCCAGCGTTCATCTGTACGTGATTATGTAACGTTTTCTCTTCCTTCTCTTAGAAGTTCAGCAATAAGCAAGTGTGAATTTCAGTGTAGAGCTAAATAAGTAGGCATGCTCACAGGTCAGTCTCAAAAATGCTCTAATGGGCTGGGCAGTGTGGTGGCAGTGGAGATAGGATGCACCCTGTAACCAGGACTTTGCTTCGTGGCAGTGGTCCAAGATATTATTTTATCTTCAAGTTACGGGTACAAGATATGGAATGTGTTTCATGGCTGAAGCTTTTAAAAGCACATATATTTCTGGTATTGTTAAAAAGTAAAAGAACAGCATTAATTTAGTATAAATTTGGAAGTAAGATGCTATCTTTCTCCCGGGTTCTGAAAGAAAAATGACAGATAAACTCCAAATGAGACAGTGCACAGATTCAAACCCACAATTCAGCAGCCCAAGGCTGGCAGCCGTTCTCAGTGAGACAGAGCTCTCTAACTTTCCTCTGATGGCACACAATGTCCAAGTAACAAAAGGCTCATCAGCAGGAGCGTTTGAGACACTCTTGGATGAGATGCCCTCATAAAAAGTAAGTGAGAAGCAGGAAGGGTGGTTTTGGAAGCAGCCACGTCTGTCTGGTATGCTATACATAGAGTGTCGCATATGGCCTGTCCTGTGTCCAAAAACCTTGATAAATAAAATAATTCTCCATGCTTAATCATGCAGGCCTGTGCCTAAAAATGTTACAGTAAGAATGGGCGGGCTGGAATGGGAGAGCCTGTTTTCCAAGAAGTTGTCAGGAGCTCAATTTGTGTTCTTAAATAAAATACATTTATTCACTTGACAGCTTTGGGGTTTTTTTTTTTTTTCTCATCTTAAGTCTGCTGCAGATGGCATTTTCTAAGCAACACTTTAATTCTTTCTCCCAAACAAAACCATTAACAGCAGCAACAACAAGCGAGCAGCCCACAGGGCAGGACATCCGGCGCTTCTCACAGGGGCTGAGCCACTTGGTGCCTTTTTGCTCTTCCTCTGTGGGACAGGTAAATGGAAATGACAGGATCCACTCCCAGCTGGGGCCCCGATACGCCAGCAACTAATTGCTGACTTTCGCTCTCATTCCCTGCCCTAACCCTGTTTTTATTGTTGTCAGCACTGGGAACACAAATGTGCACAGTCTCACAGGGCATAGGGCCTGAGGGAGAGAAGACACACATGAGTACAGACTGATGGAACGAATGGGGCCAAATACCAAGAGCATTTCAGAGGGACTGCGCCCAGGGGAAGGAAAGGCTGAAGGCAGATGAAGGACAAGGAACAGAAAGGAGGAAGAGCACTCTAGACAGGACATGCAAAGGCCCTGAGGCAGAAGGGAGTGAGCCACACAAAGGAACCTAAAACACAGTGGGTATCAGTGTGAGATCCTGAAACAGACCTCAGAGTTGTGCAGGGACCTCATCCCTAACAGTGTGGCTCTGTATTTGGAAGGCAGTGGATGTCTACTGAGTATTTTGAGCTGTGGAGAAGCATAATTAAGTTTCCTTTCCATGTGAAGAGCAGATTAAGAGGTGGTAGTTTTCACTCGGTAATAGCAGCCAGTGAGGAAAGGAGAGCAATGGGTGATTATATCTTTAAGGCACCAAGAGTGCTTTACTGGGACCTGGGGTTCAGTGTTGAGTGCTTCATACAAGCTGTGTGACACAGGAAGACATCTTCACTTCTCTGGTCCAGGTTCCTTGTCTGTCCTGTGAGGAGGTTTGTCCACATGGTGGAGGAGAGTCTACATGTATTCCAGGGCTGATGGGAGGGGACATCGTGAGAAGTGGTGGGCACAGCCCTGGAGGGACCGTGGCTGTGGCTCCATGGCTGTGGGTGGGAAAGAAAACCTAGATTCCTCCACGTTGGTGAGGTTCCCCCAGGGGCACCTGCCAGCACGCACAGGGAGTTTGAATTCTGGTCTTTTCATCTCTCCGAGTCTCAGTGTCCTCTGTGAAAAGAGGACCTATTACCTACGTGGCGAGAACCGTTATGGAGGCTGGGAAAGCGTTTGAGGGTGTAGGGGCAGCTGGCTGGTGTGTGGCCTGTCCTCCGTGGGGAGGAGCTACTGTCACAGTCTGGTTTCTGTGGGTACAACCAGCTGGGCACGGAGGCCAATCAGACACAGGGAGCGAGGAAAAGGGATCAGGCCCGTGTACTGGAGAGGCCCGGGCACGGACTAAGACACTTTCCAAGCAATCGTTTGGAATGTATAGTCTGCAGGAGCAGATCACAGCACACTCGTCCTCTCAGGCACCCCGATTTGTCACCTTGCGGTTCTGCAGCTCAGAAGTGCAATCTGGATCTCACTGAGCTATAACCTAGGGTGCAGCTAGGGCTGCTGCCCCTTCCCTGAGAACTTCGGGAAGAAGATTTCCCGGCCTTCTCTGCTTCTAGTGGCTGCCCATGCCTCCTGGCTCCTCCGCCAGAGCCAGCAATGCTGAGTTTCTCCATCACCTTCCTCCGTAGTCACATCTCCCTCTGCCTATGTCTGGAGAAGTTCCTGTTTTTACATCCTCTGTGATGATGGTGGATCCACCCAGATAATCCTGGACAACCTCCCTACCTGAAGGGCCTTGTCTGACATCTTAGCTTTCTGTCCCTGTGACCAAATACCGAGAGAAACAATGTAAAGGAGAAGAGCTTGATTTGGGCCCACAGTTTCAGAGCTTTGGTTCTATGGTCAGCGGCTCCAAGGCAAAAGGGCATGGAAAGCTGCTCACTTCCCGGCATCCAGGTAGCGGGAAGGAAGTGAGAGAGCCAGAAGAGGGATTCACCCTTCCAAGGCACGCCCCCAGTGACTCATTTCTTCCAACCAGGCCTCCCCAGCAGCACACTCAGTATCCACCCACCAGTGGGATAATCCATCAATGGCTCCATGCCTGTGGCGTAATCACCTTCCAAAACCCACCTTGAACAGTGTTGCACTGGGGAACCAGTGACCCGTACATGAGCCTGGGGGAACCTTTCCTTTTAAAACTGTAACAATGACTCTCACCTGCAAAGATAAAAGACCCTTTGCCCGGAAGTTGGTGTTCACAGCTTCTGGGGGCTAAGATGCAGCCTTCTTAGCAGAGGCAGGCATTGCTCTGTCTACCGTAAGGAAGGCCGCCCAGATGCTGTAATTCCACCCCACTAGGAAGTCACCTGTCTCAGCGGAGCTCTGGAAGTCAATGGGATGATTGTGGTGTGTGGAAGGGGCCCCCACAGGCACTTTTCTCTCTGGAACAAGATGTTTCTGTTCGCTGCTCAGACTCTTCAGTGACAGTTAGCTCAGAAGGGGAAGGCTCTGTCCTGGCCGAGACTGACTGACTGGATCCCCAGGAACACCGTGGGTGATGGGAATCCCAGCGGGATGCAGAGGGGCTCTGCCTCTCCTCCCCCTCTGTGCCTCAGGAGGGGTGAATCAGCCTCCTCAGGGCAGCTCCCGTCAGTGCAGATGCTTTGCAATCAACTCTCCAGTTCACAAAAGGCGATTTGAGAAAATCACTCTGCTTTTCTCAAAGCTTTATGTAGTTTCTCAATCTTGGTACCAGTGCAAAGAAAATGGGATTTAGAAACTTACAGAATAGCACTAAAACTTGGGCAGTATCGCTAACTGGCTGTGTGACCTTAAGCAGGTCACTTAACAACTCTGAATTTTGTTTCTGCCGCAGAAAGTGGACATAAAACCTGCCCTGCATGGTCATCTGAGTTCAAGTGAGTACAGCTGTGATCATGCTGGGGGCAGAGGCAGAGGAACACTTATAAAGCTGAGATCTGCGGGAAATCCCACAGCCTTTCTGCTTTTGTGGACCGAATTGAGCAGTCAGACTTTTCAAGCAAGACCTTTTGCTTTTCCTTCTTGAGCTCTTAATCTTCACCTTTGAATTTTTTAACATATCTTAAATTTTGGTGTGAAATGCCGAACACGACACTTACCCTTTTACCCATTTTAAGATTGCAGTTCTGGGGCTGGGGATTTAGCTCGGCGGCATAAGCACCTGCTTGCAAGCAGGTGGTCGTGAATTCAATGCCCAGTACCAACAACAACAAAAAAAAAGATTGCAGTTCTACGGCACTAATCCATCCACATTGTGCGTGGTCACCACCACCGTCTCCAGAGGGCTTTTCTCTCCAAACTGACACCCTGTCTGCATTACACACTAACTCCCATCTTCTCCTCCCTTACCCCTCAGACCACCAGTCTACTCTCTGTGTCTACAGACCTGTCTCTCTCAGCCCCCCAGAATGGTGGCATCACACAGCGCCTGTCCTTCGGTGACCGGTCAACTCTGATAGCGAGGTGAAGGCTGCAGCGTGTGTCAGGATGTCTGAGGCTGACAAAGGCTCCGTTTGTCTCACAGACCACATTCTGTCCCCATCCACTGTGCGACTGGGTTGCTTCTGCCTGCTGGCTCTGCTGAGTGATGCAGCTATAAACATGGGCGTAGAAGTCTTCAGAACGCTGCTTTCAGTTCTTCTGGATAAATTTCTGGACTTGAGTTGCTGGGCTGTTTGATAATTCTACTTCTAATGTTTCAAGCAGCCGTCACACTGTTCTGCATAGTGCCTGCACTATTCTGTGTTCCAACGCGTGGTGCGCGAGGCTTCTAACTTCCCCACGTCTTCGCCAACACTTGTTCTTTCATGTTTGATTTGCTTGTTTTGATAAAGCCTTCTTAGTGTGTGCGAAGTGACCACTACATTTCCCCAGTGGTAATGAAATTGGGCATCTTTTCATGTGCTTGTTGGCCATTTTTATAGCCTCTTTGGAGAAATGTCTATTTGAAGTCCTTTGTCCATTTTGAAGTCATGTTGTTTGTGTTTGTTATTGCTGATTGCTAGGAGTTATGTGTACACACCTTGCTAAGTGTGTGACTTGAAGATACCTTTTAGCCTTCTGTATACAGGTTGTCTTGTTACTCTGTTGAGTGTCCTTCAAAATCAAATAAGTACTTAAATATTTTCATAATATCTGATTTATCTACTTTTTTCTTTTGTTACCTGTGCCTTTGGTGTCATATCTAAGACATCATTGATAAATCCAGTGTCATAAAGTTTTTCCTACATGTTTTCTTCTGACGGTTTTACAGTGTGAGCTGTCACATGTAGGCTTCTGACAGACTTTGGTTAATTTCTGTGTGTAGTGTTGGGCAAAGGTCCAACATCATGCTTCTTCTGTGCAGTCCAGTTTTCTCACCATCACGTGTTGAAAAGTTCACTTAAATATTTCTATGTATGTATTTCACTGGTACTCTCTACTCGCATTACTGGTCCTGTTATCTTTGACAAAGGTGTCGAACTCATTCACTGGAAAACAGCCTCTTTATAAGTGGTGCTGGAGAAGCTGGCTCTGCACATACCGAAGACTAAAGGTGGATCCACATCTTTCACCATGCGCTAGGCTAGATTTGGAATGGATCAAAGATCTAAATACTAAAACAGAAACATTAAATCTGCTAAAGAGAGAGCAAGTAAAACCCTTGAAGACGTGGGTATAGGCAAAGACTTTATTAACAAAACCCCAACTGTGCAGGACTAATCACAAGGAATCAACAACTGGGACTTCATCGTATTAAAAATCTTTTGCACAGCAAGGGAAACCATTAACAGAGTGAAGAGGCAATCCACAATGTGAGAGAAAATGTTCGCCAGCTGTGCCTCAGACAAAGGATTATTATCGAGAACATATAAAGAACTAAAAAAAAAAAAATCAGTCCTCCCAAATTTAAAGACCCAGTCCAAAAACGGGCAGCTGAGATGGATATGCACTTATTGGATGAAGAAATACAAACAGCAAATAAAGATAGGAAAAAATGTTCAACA